CCCCCCCCACCCTGGTTCCCCCAGCCAGTCGGGGGGAATGCCCTCACCCAGCCCTTCCCATGGGTGTCCCCTCCTTCCTTCACCCCAAAGCACCCCAAAAACCCTTCCCATGGGTGCCCCCTCCTCCCTTCACCCCAAAGCACCCCAAAACACCTTCTCACAGGTGCCCCCTCCTGCCTTCACCCCAAAACCCCTTCCTATGGGTGCCCCCTCCTGCCTTCACCCCTAAACCCCTTTCTCATGGGTGCTCCCTCTTCCCTTCACCCCAAAGCACCCCAAAACCTCTTCCCATGGGTACCCCCCTCCTGCCTTCATCCCAAAATACCTTCCCATAGGTGTCCCCTCCTGCCTTCACCCCAAAGCATCCCAAAACCCCTTCTCACAGGTGCCCCTCTCCTGTCTTCACCCCAAAACCTCTTCCCATGGGTGCCCCCTCCTGCCTTCACCCCTGAACCCCTTCCTATGGGTGCCCCCCTCCTGCCTTCACCCCTAAACCCCTTCCTATGGGTGCCCCCTCCTGCCTTCACCCCAAAGCACCCCAAAACCTCTTCTCATGGGTACCCCCCTCCTGCCTTCATCCCAAAATACCTTCCCATAGGTGTCCCCTCCTGCCTTCACCCCAAAGCATCCCAAAACCCCTTCTCACAGGTGCCCCTCTCCTGTCTTCACCCCAAAACCTCTTCCCATGGGTGCCCCCTCCTGCCTTCGCCCCAAAACCCCTTTCCATGGGTGCCCCCTCCTCCCTTCACCCCAAAGCACCCCAAAACCCCTTCCCATGGGTGCCCCCTCCTCCCTTCACCCCAAAGCACCCCAAAACCTCTTCCATGGGTGCCCCCCTCCTGCCTTCACCCCAAAATGCCTTCCCATGGGTGCCCCCTCCTCCCTTCACCCCAAAGCACCCCAAAACCTCTTCCATGGGTGCCCCCCTCCTGCCTTCACCCCAAAATGCCTTCCCATGGGTGCCCCCTCCTCCCTTCACCCCAAAGCACCCCAAAACCCCTTCCCATGGGTGCCCCCTCCTTCTTTCACCCCAAACCACCCCAAAACCCCTTCTCACAGGTGCCCCCCTCCTGCCCTCATCCCAAACCCCCTTCCCATGGGTGTCCCCTTCTTCCTGCACCCCAAAACTCCCCCCCCTGCTCCGTGCCAACCCATGTCCCCCCCTCGTACATCAATACAGCCCCCTGACCCCCCTCTGCACCCCAAGGTGGGCACTCACAGTCCTCAGGGGCCACGGCGATGGGGCCGGGCTCCTCGGGGAAGGTGCCCCGGACCGTCCTCTCCACCGCCAGCAGGAGCAGCAGGACCAGGGGGACACGGGGGGGTGGCCCCATGGTGTCCCCCGCCACGGGTGGGCACCCCACCGCACCTGCGGGCAGGGGGAGAGGTGCTGGGAGGGGGGGGACAGCACCCACCCAGACCCCTGGGTTCCCTCCCCATTGCGTCACCCACCCGGACCCCCAACCCACCACCGGTGCCAGGGTCCTGAGGGGTTCTGGGGGAACTGGGAGGGGGGGGTTTAAGTTGCTGGTGCTGGGCTGGTGCCAGCGGCGAGGGGCCGGGCTGGGATGAGGCTGGGATCGGGGAGAGGGAGGAGAGTCCTTCCCTGCCTGAAGAATTTCAAATATGCTGGGAAAAAGCGGCCCCCGCGCCCCCAGCGCCTGCGCGGCTCTGCACTGGGGCTACTGGGCCCAAACTGGGGCTTCACTGGTGGCTGCCACCCACCGAGCCACAGGGGAATGAAGACAGCGGCATGGCAAGGCTGGGGACATGGGGACATAGGGACGTGGAGACAGAGGGACAAAGGGACATGGGGACATAGGGACATGGAGATATAGGGATATAGGGACATGGGGACATAAGGGCACAGGGACATGGGGACACAGGGACATGGGGACACAGGGACATGGGGACACAGGGATTTAGGGACATGGGGACATAAGGGCACAGGGACATGGGGACGTAGGGACATGGAGATATAGGGATATAGGGATATAGGGACATAAGGACACAGGGACATGGAGATATAGGGATATAGGGACACGGGGACATAAGGGCACAGGGACATGGGGACACAGGGACATGGAGATATAGGGATATAGGGACACGGGGACATAAGGGCACAGGGACATGGAGATATAGGGATTTAGGGACACGGGGACATAAGGGCACAGGGACACAGGGACATGGAGATATAGGGATATAGGGACACGGGGACATAAGGGCACAGGGACATGGGGACACAGGGACATGGGGATATAGGGATATAGGGACATGGGGACATAAGGGCACAGGGACATGGGGACATAGGGGAAGCCAGTGAGACTTCCGCATCCGAAATGCCACTGGGACAGCTCGGAAAATCCCTGGGGACACACTGGAGCACCACGTGCCACAACACATCCCCCCCTCCAACCCGGACAGCCCCGATGCCACCGTCCCCCCACCGCGCCAGGCCACCGTCACTGTCCTGCCACCCATCCCCGTGGGGCAGCGGGGATGGGGGTAGGGCTGGGTAATTAACAGCCAGGCAGGGATTTAATTGATTATCAATTCCCTGAGAGCAGGGAGCGGGTGCGATCGAACCGTCGCCCTCCTGCCGCCGTGTCCCCTGCGGGGAGCGGGGACGGGTGACATTGTGTGGGGCTGGGGGTCACGGCGCCTGGACACCCGGCAGCGCCAGTGGGGTGACTCGTCCCTGTCCCCTCTGGTGTCACCAGCCCTGGGTGAGACCCGGCACTGTCCCCATCCCGGTCCCCCCCTGTGGTGTCACAGCCTCCGGGGACACCTGACCCCGACCCCACGGTGTCACAGCCCCCCCGGGTAGGACATGACCCCAGTAGGACCTGACCTTGGTGTCACAGTCCCTGGGGACAACTGACCCCATCCCCTGGGTGTCACAGTCCCCAGGGTTAATTGGCCCCATCTCCACGGTGTCACAGCCCCAGGGACACCCAAAAACATCCCCGTGGGGTCACAGCCCCCGAGGACAACTGACCCTGTCCCCACAGTGTCATGGACAGCAGGGACATCCAACAATGTCCCCAAGGTGTCACGGACCCCAGGGACTACCCAGCCTCATCTCCACAGCATCACAGCCCTCAGGGACATCCAACAATGTCCCCAGGGTGTCACAGACCCTAGGGACCACCCAAAAACATCCCCACAGCCCTCAGGGACACCCAACAATGTCCCCAGGGTGTCACAGACCCTAGGGACCACCCAAAAACATCCCCACAGCCCTCAGGGACGCCCAACAATGTCTCCAGGGTGTCATGGACCCCAGGGACCACCCAAAAACATCCCATGGGGGTCACAGCCCCCAAGGACAACTGACCCTGTCCCCAGAGTGTCATGGACAGCAGGGACATCCAACAATGTCCCCAAGGTGTCACGGACCCCAGGGACCACCCAACCCCATCCCCACAGCCCCCAGGGACATCCAACAGTGTCCCCAGGGTGTCATAGACCCCAGGGACCACCCAACCCCATCCCCACAGCACCACAGCCCTCAGGGACATCCAACAATGTCCCCAGGGTGTCAAGGACCCTAGGGACCACCCAACCCCATCCCCACAGCATCACAGCCCTCAGGGACACCCAACAATGTCCCCAAGGTGTCTAGACCCCAGGGACCACCCAAAAACATCCCCACAGCATCACAGCCCTCAGGGACACCCAACAATGTCCCCACGGTGTCACGGACCCCAGGGACCACCCAACCCCATCCCCACAGCATCACAGCCCTCAGGGACATCAAACAATGTTCCCCAAGGTGTCACGGACCCCAGGGACCACCCAAAAACATCCCCGCGGGGTCACAGCCCCCGAGGACAACTGACCCCATTCCCCAGAGTGTCATGGACAGCAGGGACACCCAACAATGTCCCCAAGGTGTCATGGACCCCAGGGACCACCCAACCCCATCCCCACAGCCCTCAGGGACATCCAACAATGTCCCCAGGGTGTCAAGGACCCTAGGGACCACCCAACCCCATCCCCACAGCATCACAGCCCTCAGGGACACCCAACAATGTCCCCAAGGTGTCATGACCCCAGGGACCACCCAAAAACATCCCATGGGGGTCACAGCCCCCAAGGACAACTGACCCCATTCCCCAGAGTGTCATGGACAGCAGGGACATCCAACAATGTCCCCAAGGTGTCACAGAGCCCAGGGACACCCAACCCCATCCCCACAGCATCACATTCCGCACAGCCCTCAGGGACATCCAACAATGTCCCCAAGGTGTCATGACCCCAGGGACCACCCAACCCCATCCCCACAGCATCACAGCCTTCAGGGACATCCAACAGTGTCCCCAAGGTGTCACAGACCCCAGGGACCACCCAAAAACATCCCCACGGAGTCACAGCCCCCAAGGACAACTGACCCTGTCCCCACAGTGTCATGGACAGCAGGGACATCCAACAATGTCCCCAAGGTGTCATGACCCCAGGGACCACCCAACCCCATCCCCACAGCATCACATTCCGCACAGCCCTCAGGGACATCCAACAATGTCCCCAAGGTGTCACGGACCCCAGGGACCACCCAGCCCCATCCCCAAAGACTCACAGCCCTCAAGGACATCCAACAGTGTCCCCAAGGTGTCACAGACCCCAGGGACCACCCAAAAACATCCCCACGGAGTCACAGCCCCCAAGGACAACTGACCCTGTCCCCACAGTGTCATGGACAGCAGGGACATCCAACAATGTCCCCAAGGTGTCACGGACCCCAGGGACCACCCAGCCCCATCCCCAAAGACTCACAGCCCTCAAGGACATCCAACAGTGTCCCCAAGGTGTCACAGACCCCAGGGACCACCCAAAAACATCCCCACGGAGTCACAGCCCCCAAGGACAACTGACCCTGTCCCCACAGTGTCATGGACAGCAGGGACATCCAACAATGTCCCCAAGGTGTCACGGACCCCAGGGACCACCCAGCCCCATCCCCACAGCATCACAGCCCTCAAGGACATCCAACAGTGTCCCCAAGGTGTCATAGACCCCAGGGACACCCAGTCCTGTCCCCACAGTGTCCCAGCCACCAGGGACGTGTCCCCAGGGGCACAGACGGATTCACCTCCCCGGTGGCCTCCTGGGGACAGCCACAGCCATGGGACGGGTCTGTGCCTCAGTTTCCCCACCTGCCCAAGGAGCAAACACCTGGGTCCCACCTGAGCTGAATTAGGGGGCTCCCCCAAAGCCCCCCCTTTAGTGGCCAGTGGGGGCTCCTGATCGAGCCTCGTTACCCAAACGAGCCATCATCCTTGGGTAATGATGTCCCCACGCCACAACCTCCCCCCCAGAGGCAGAAAAATCACCAAATTTAAGCAGCCCCAGGCACCAGGGGGGGGGCAGGGACACGGACACCCCAAAAAGCAGCCCCAAGGGAAGGGCTCAGCATATATCAGCCACCTGAGAATCCCCCCCCATCCCCCACGCCGGGTGGGATTTGGGGCTCGGGGTGGTCGCGTTGCAGCCTGGGGCGCCTGTAACCCCAAGGTGGGGGTGGGAGGGGGGGGTCTGGTGTCATTGTGTGTCCCCCCCCCACCTCAATGCTGGGTGGTGACAGCGAGC